GACACCATTTTTAAATTACTTCTGGTGCTGCTACGAGCATGCCGTTTGGAGAATATGTTCCCTATGAACCGTAGTATTTTTTGGTTCTATTTAAAAAACTATTTTTGGGTTGTATTTACCTACTATCCCCCCTTAAGATTATAAGAATCTTTGCCTGTTCTTCGCACTATTTATATGTAATTAGGAATATCATTACATCTCTATGTATTTCTTTTTGCAGTAAGGCATTGTGTATTGGATTCTTTTGAAGAATACCATTTATTATCTCTGTCTTTCTGCACATTTCGTGTATTCGCCTTCAGGTGTATCAATAGAATGTTTTTGGCCTAGCCCACAACTTGGTGTTCCACAGCGCCAAACAGTGAGCAAAATAGCATGTTTCCGCAGATCCACCGGTTCAGCTGCTGGCATATTTTCGAGTATCAGTATCAAGCAGTTATGTGAACTTCATACAGTCAAACATTATTTATGAAAGATGCACTGCCAATCTTTTCAGGCATTTTTATCCTGGATAAGTGATTTGGGAGCGCCTTAAACAAATTTTTGATTATGAGCCAATTTAAACAACCGTGTTCCAGGCACATATATCACTTTTCAAGCATATAGAAGTCTGCTATTGCCTCTTTTATGTGATGAACAGCAATGTTATGTGTCTGTGGGCTGGACAAAAACAAAACAGGGGCACATGGTGGTACTATAACGATCATGCACATAGATTAGCAGGAATTAAGTAGCTGCCATGTCGAGTAGAGCCTGAAATACTACTTTGTTCTATTTAACAAAAAAATAAATAACTTAGCAAAAGTGGTTTGCAAATTGAATGGACTGGCATCTTATCAAGAACAAACCTCAACAGCCAGGCTATATCAGTTTATCCTGTATAAGAAAATATTCACTTGGATACGGGCTATTTAAGCCAGATTCAATCGGAGTATGAAGGTGCGTAGAGAATAGAGTGAACAATTTTGACCACTCCTTTCTGGATGGTTCCTTACCTACATTAGGGTGCTCAGTGCAAACAATGTTGGTTAGGAAAACAAGTGTTGTGATTGCCACTCAGTATTTCTACAAAAAGGTAGACTGAAAGGGCTTGTCCTAAAACGATTGTGACATTTTGAAAATATTGCTTTTAGCTGAACTGTGTCGTTATACAGGGTGCGACCGTAAGGACTAACACATTTGGCATGCCTTGCAATATTCAAATTCAAAACTTACATACCTGAAATTGGGTATGCGAACACAGTTTCAGAAGAAGTGTTGTCTATTTCTTTAGAGCTCAGGTCAGAGATTGTAAAATATCATAATAGACCAAAAATGCTGGCCGTGCATTTCCTATGCCTTATACCGGATGTTCGGCGTCTGCACACTGGTTTGTGAGCTTGCTTCCAGGTGATCATTGTTCACACATTTCGTGAGAAGTATTAATTATCGCGATTATCTTCCTGATCACCAGCCATTGGTTTCTAGCACTATTGCATTTAGCAAGCCATCTTGGAGCAAACTCATAAACCAGTGTGAAGACGACAAACAGGCTGGTATAGGACATAGGAAATACACGGCCTCCGATTTTGATTTATTTTTGTTTCACTACCTCAAAATTGATCCCTAAAAATAGACATACAACTTCTTGCAAAACCATATGTTTGCGTGCCCAATTTCAGGTATGTGTGTTTGGAGTTTGAATTATGCAAGGCGTGCCAAACCAGACTATTGTGAAACATGTTTCGTTAACTATATGTCCCGATATATATGGTGACGAGGTGCCCATTCCATGATTTTACTCACTGTAATTAATTCCCTAGTGTAAGAGCACAACTGCGAATCAATTTTTAATACTGCGACGGAAAATTTACACAAACCATTCGATTTGTGTAAAATATATGTGACTGAGGTAAACAAATGGATGTTGAGTCGTATAAACACGGCATTTTGTAGGTTAATCTAAATTTTATTTTATTTTTTACTCTTGCGTGTAAATTAAATAATGCGATTTTTAAATAATGCGATTTCTTATTGATGGTACCTAAAAATAAAAGTGGATTGTACATACGATAAAAAACTATATAGTCCCTCGTTTCACGGCGAAAATAGTGCCTATTGCTACAACAACAACATGGAAAATATATTCTCAATTTAGCGGTTCAAAACGGAACTGAACCGAAAGCCGTGAACCCGAACTGAACAGATAAAAATTTCGTTTAAACACTCTTTCCAATGGCCACACGATGCATCCCTCCCCTACTCCACTGGAAACTCGCAAGCTGCCAAAGTGAAGAACAAGTGGCTAAAGCTGGCCAATCGCTCCAATGCCAAAAGGCGGTGTCTCCAACTGCTGCAACCTCCATGTGCTCAGCAAACTCCACTTGCAATGCTTCAATTCCGTCATTAGCTCATAACTAAATAAAATGAGTGCACACTATTTTGAGTGAGACAAAGAATAGGAATGCCATCATTAATGAAGCAGTGCAGGCAGGCTACCGAGGGATTCAAGCGCGTAATTGGTACAGGAATGAGGAATGATCCAGAATCTGATGCTCACAATGGATTTGCATTTGGTCAGGTTCCACAGATCAGAAACAAAAACTCCACATTCGAAAAATGAGCACAATCAACGATAGCCACAGACACTGGCAATTTTTGTGACATTGTAGCTCAAAAATAATGGTTCGGCATGAGTGTCGCAGGAAACATTTGCAATGAAACAAAGTACTTTTTTTCCTTTTGAAGAATAGTTTGTTTATATTAGTTTTAGTCGTGGTACCGCAAAGCAAATGGCAATAGTTAATTTGTAAGCCAAACAAAGCGTGATCAATTTGAACTATAATGTTTGTAGGCAAAAAAGAATGACGACCATTTTCATCATTTATTGATTTCAGTGTATTACATGATCATCCCATAGCATATGTTGCAAAAAAATGACACCTAGTGTATAGTGCTGGCTTATTATTTCAACCTGGCTGCTACCGATGTTTAGGGTATAATTTGTAATAAAGCGCTTATTTATGGACCTAAATACAATAGCTTTTCACTTGACAGAATTTATTATCTTCTGTCTATAAAAAGAATCTTTTTGAGACAGTGTTTATTTGTCGCAGACATAACAAGACTAGTGTCGTCTGCATACATGATAAAACATGAACGTTGGCAAATATTGACTATGTAATCAATATAAGGAACAAGAGCAGACTCTGCACTGCATATGTACTTCGAGATACAAATGGAACCTAAACAGTCTTACGACGAAACCCAAGAAGAAATGTGTCTTCACAAACCGACTATCCAAGGACAGCTTGACAGGTATAGTTTTTATAGACACGGCCGCTTTGGAGTGCCTTCATGCGTCTACCTCAGGGAGGCGACAACCGACCAATTGTACTTCTCATCATCACCAACACACTGCTAGGATATGCAACTCCAAGGCCCACTTTTGAAGCAGTTTTTCTGAACGGGATTCGAAGGAAATGAGGCCCTCCAGAATTGTGGTTTCCATGGAGGGGGTTCTGGTGGGTCGCACGGTTGCTGGCGCGACACCCCAGTTACCTGTTACCACAGATGTTGTATTTGAACATGCAGCCAAATGTGCAGCCATGCGGCGACAAACATTCCCCAGGCAGAATGGTCGAGGCCGAGCACAACCCTCCTCAACGACTGCTCATTTGGTACAATATTGCAGCGGCCATCCCAGAATGCCGTGACGTATGTCCGCGCCATGGATACACTCTTTCTAGCAGTAACCCTCTTCAACCACCTCTAAAGGCGGTCAGGGGGTGCGAGTGCGTCCACAAGACGCAACCATGTAATGCTAGCTACAGACTCTGAAGGGCGCGACCATAAAGGCGGCACTGTAGCATTCGATCCTGCACAAGCCACAAATGCTTTACTCTGTTTACCCTTAAAGGTGCGCTCCAACGATTTTCGGACTTGGGCCAATTAACTGTAGAAATTAATCTGTGTCACCCACGAAACGAAGAACACAAAACCGTATTTTCTTGCGAGATAGTTTTTATTTAAAATAATGAAACAAATCGAAGGTCAAAGTGCCTCTCAACTCTCCACATCGCCTTTCCAGTGATGTACTCTGGGGGATCACGTGGTTTCCCCTTGGGTTCTCTTTTTAGAGACCCCCAGCCGCTTCCTCCACATTTGTCGGCTTTTAAAGGATTAGCATCGTCAAAGGTAGCAGCGAGCGATCGACACAAAAGACGGCTTGCCACAGAGCGGACGGCGAATGTAGCAGCGGAAGGGCTCAGGTTTTGGTTGGCTTCAGCGTATCCCCCAAAGACGCGGGTTCACGTAATAGCCATTTTGCAATTATGCAGCGGAATAGCAGTTTTTCGGGGCAAGGTGACGCGTTTTTGGTCACTTGTGCTTGAATAATCAATATAAGAAATACAAACTGACAATTCTTTCAACATTCAAATCGTTGCACTACCCCCTCTAAGCTGAGACTGCAGCCAAAGCTACAAGCGGAAGCTAGACCGCGCTCCTGGCTTTGAGACGTGCATTTCTAGCGCGAGTTCTGCGGAAGCAAATCGAAGGTCAAAGGTTAAAGCAGAGACCTCGAGCTCTGGTGCAATTATGGCATTGGCTGCAGTCTCAGCTTAAGGGTGCGCTAACAGAGCGCGTGAAAGGAAAACTAAAATTATTGAAAAGCACGCAGCTGGTGGCTACAGCCTCTTAGCGAACCGCTAAGAATGCGTTCCTTTCAGCTGTTCGCGTTGTTTTCTTTCGTCCGTGAGCAATCGAAACGTGACCTAAAAGTATTTCATTTTACTCGCCAGGAGCGCTGCTCAAACCCTGGGAGCTACAGGTCTACTGAGGCTATGTCCAAGGCGTCCGCATCCCATATTTGCCTCCCTGGTGCGGACTACTCGCCCCCCAATTTTCATCCAAGTACTCGACCATTCCCTTCCTGGGCTCCGGTGCCAAGGACCAAAGGTTGGCTCGGCTCAGGAGAGCGGCAATCGAAGGACCCATGCAACCCACAGGTGAGCCCTCACCTGCAGCCGACGTTGCCGGTGGCTGGGACGCCGCTCGACCGTCCGCCAGGACACTGCGCCCCCACCAGATCCGATTTCCGACGCTCCTAATGTGGCGCGGTGGCCGCGCGAGGCCCACGCCAAGGGTTCCGCTCACACATGGTCCCGGCCTGGCAGAACACCGACCGGCCGTCCGAGCCACGGGCGCAGATCGCGCGAAGGGCGCAACTCAGCGCCCGGGACGAGCCGTCGTCTCAGCCGTCCCGCCGAAACCTCGCGCTGCGGTCGAGTGAGGGGCCATCTTGGAGGAGGGACGCGCGCATGTGGCGCACGCGCACTATTCATCGCGCATGCGCAGTATCGATCGTCCGCGGCTACTTGCAAGTTGCAACTATGGTGCGTTCCAGGTACCAGGGGCACCAGGCACCGTACGACCAGGCCCAACGTTTACCAGGCTGACCGGGCCAACGTTACCGGGCTACCGAGCAGCGCTGGACCAGGAGAACGCAGCTTGGCCAGAGGCGGCTTTGGGCCAGCTTGGCCGCTTGGCGGTTCAAGCCAGATTTCAAGCGCTAGCCGCTCTAGCCTCAAGTTTAGCCGCAAGGTGCCGCTAGGCGCCTCTGGCTTCCGTGCTCGTGTTTCGGTTGTTTCGGTTTCGAGATGATTTTTTTTTAATTTATTTATTTATTTTTTTTTGGGGGGGGGGGGGGGGGGGGGGGTGTAAAGGTAGTTTTTTAACATCATACTAAATCGCCTAACACAAAAAAAAAAAAAAAAAAACTTTTTGAACAATGAAATTAGGGGGGATCTTCGGGAGTGAGGTTGGTGGTTGGGGGGAGGAGTGAACAGAGGAGCCAGTTTGTAAGCACATGATTTCTTTCGACAAAATGCGCAGCAAGACAGGGACAGAGTAAGGGAGACAACACGAAGCGCTACTTTCAACTCAATCCCTTCCATTCCCTTCTACTGAACGTACTAGAAATGTCGCGAAGGAAAAGAACAAAATCAAACTCGTTTCTGGCCCGCTAGTGCCGCTATTAAATACAGTCGTTGGAGTAAAGTAACACACTAGAGGCACATGCTCCATGACGCATGACACAACTTCAAAATCATCCACACGGCGTCAATGGACCTCTTGGCGAATATGTGCTGCCACCTAGACACGCGACTGGGTCGAGCCTAAATGGCGAGAAAACAAGGCGCGCGCGAGGCCTCTCCCACCCGTTGCACTCCCAAAACGTCAGCTACATCCTGTTCATCCATTGAGGCGCTGTGACCTAGATACGGCTCCCTCAAACTCGCCTTTGTCCCCATCGTGCGTAATCTTCCGCCCCGAAGTCGACACAACGAAACCATCTTCCCTCTCTGCTCGGCCAGAAGGAAGGGAGAGAGGGTACTGGAAACAGTTACTCTCGAACCGATGTTTCTGCAAAAGGTCCAATGCGTGCGAAAGCAGAGACGCAGCACTTCGGCATGCAAAGAAATCTTTGATGACGCCGCAAGACTTGCGTTCGACGAATTGTGCCTTTTTCCTGCGGTACTGAACTTTCGTCAAAATTTCCACGTGTTCTCAAAGGCAACTACGACCGTTTACACAAGATTAAAAAAAAAAAAAAAATGTCTTCAGCAAGCTGCCGCCCAGCCTTTCCAACGCTCCAAAATGTTGACTTTTGGTACATGCAAGATGGCCGTCCGGTGGCCGCATTCGCAGAGTGGGGAAGTGCGAGAAACGGCGAGAAAGGTGGCACAAGCTTCTCATTTCGCCGCTAAGCACAAGCGTTTATATATATATATATATATTAGCTTTTACAGTTGAAAGTTACAATCCTCGCGCGCTGTGGTAAGGTGTTCTAGTACACATGGGTTGCACGGACGTCACAACGCATACTTTTGACCACCATGTAAGAGGAGGAGAGGGAAGCTTCTTTTATAAGAATTTTGAGTGACGGGTTAATCTTCTATTTGGAATAGGTGCAGTCCTTTTGTTATATTTTGGGGGAGATTGCTGAGTTATATTTGTGAATCGACATGGAGGCCGTCCATAGCGCTACTTTGGGAATGAGAGGGTTTGGCGTTTGGATAGAGGTTGTCCCTTTGTGTTGGTAGTGACTTTATGGAGGGTTTGGCGTCTGAACTGGTTAGAGTTGCCCCTTTGTGTTGTTGGTGGGCTGAATAAACCTGGTAGCTGAGTTTGAGACGTCGTCCTGTCCCTTTCTGTTTCTTCGACTTTATGTTCCCTTCTACCACAGTCTCAGGTATATTCAACATGGTTAATCTTCTATAATCTTCTGGGAGGAGAATAGCGACGCCTCCGCAAATCCGGAAGGCACAAAGGAGGGTCCTGATGAGAGGGGAGCTCCTTCTTGCCCTCGTCTCTTGGTCACCGGACGTTGACCGAACCGCGTGTTTTGCCGACAACATGGCCGACAGAGCAGCTTGGCGCGAGTCACGTGGTACTCAGGGTATGGCATATAGCGAGTTCGTTTCACACGCACTGGCACCGTTCGAGTTCTCTCCCAGAATGCATCGCACTCACAGAGTGTTGCACGGAAAACTGGACTCAAACGAACTCGCCAAATGCACCGAGTGCAGAAGACTGATGCTGCCGCCATCTATGTTGTAGAAAAGGTACCGACTTCAAACCGAAACTAGCGCCTTTCTGTTCGGAGTGATGCGTGGGAATGTGAGAATGCAGTCGGCTACCAACGTTTATCTACAAACGTTGATCGCTGAAACCTGTAGTTTATAGTTGCGATGACTTCAAGCAGCTAGGCTGCCGTAGAGATAATTACAGACGGCGTAAATTTCCGCAACCAGCTGTCTACAAAGCAGCTGGTTGCGATCTTTCAATTCTTATAACCGTTTACACTGAAGAAAACTGATGATGCTGTCCGAACAGAAGCTTGATCCGTTTGAGCGTGGTATTGTCCGTGAACCACTGAAAGGGTACGGCTTAAAACTAGCCTGTTGGAATATCCAGCAAAACTGGGACTTTCGATTTGGATCGTCATTATAGGTGGATTAGATATTAGCCTTGGTGAGGGCGTCAAGAACGAGAGCTTTCTCGAACAAAATACGACGGGGCAAGTTAGCTGACGTAGGTAAATGTTAAACATGAAGATGTTGCCCAATCCTCGGGTAAAGTCTCCATCTTTAGCTTTCTCTGATGCTTATTGGGCAGTCAGAGGTTTCTGCTGGGGAAGTTTTTTCGACAAATGTTAAATTTTTCACCCGCACACGGATGGTGATAGACATCTCGGGGGCCGCTGTTGCGTTTGTTCTGAGCATTTCTTTACACACTGGTATATTTCAGCGTTTGTACGGCAACAGAGCGATTTAAAACCTGCAAACAAATAACGGGTTGTCAATTGCTTCCTTCGTGAAATAGCAGACGCTCACAATTCAAGCTCGCGTTTCATTTCGTTGCCCGCGGGAGGCAAAAATATCTACTTTTTTTTTTTTTTTCCGTTCGGTTTTGCGACACATTGTAGCAGACGAACCCTTGTCGTCTGCTCCCGCTCCTCGCCGGCCCCACCGGAGCGAGGCATGACGGGATTGCATTTTGGCGCACTCCCGATTTTCTCGGTGCAGCGAGTGCATGCACGCGTGGGGTGTCAGCGCTGAAACGAACTCGGAGAGTGCAAGCACTCGTGGAGTGCCGGCCGAAACGAACCCCTTTTACGCTACGAGTGGGCACGCGTGGGCACGAGTGCCGTGAAACGAACTCGCTAATAGAGATCATACATACTAACTCTAGAGGAAAAAGTCCGCCATTTTCCCATACATTCATAAAGCCCTACATGCAACACGGCGCGCGTTGCACTCTGGGAACTAGTTGGCCAGCCAGGGAGGAGGGTGGCATGGTTTCGGTTTCGATTGACTCGTCGACAAAAGATTATACACAGAGCGTGGACTATTAACGGCCGTTATCTCATGTTTTCTGGTCCCGAGAGCGTCATTTGTGGTCTCTAAACTAACCTAAATGGCCAGACCTTGAAGCTTTAGACAAGCCCGCGACGTATAGTTTGTCTTAACTCATGCTTGTTGTATTTTTGTACTTTAGCCTTTCTGTTAGCGTTCCAATCGAGGTATGTGGACGAGCCAGTGCTGGGAATCTTGACGCTACGAAGCTCGGGGATCTTGCCTATGTAGCAAGATCCCCGAGCCTATGTATCTTGCCTATGTAACAAGCTGTAGCAACCAATAAGTATGCATACATCGAGCTCGCGCCTTTACATTAGTGTTGTTGATCAGGAAGTTTGTTTGTTTCGTGCGTCCATAGACGAAAAATCACTTTTTGCAATTACTGTTTTTCTTAATACGCCTGAGTACGCGAGGTAAAACTCGGAGGCGCCATTGAAAAGCTAAATTTTAACACACTTCTAATCTCTTATCTGTACTGACCCGCAGCACTGCACGAAGTGAGGTCCCCACCCGCTTGCATTCCACTAATGTTCAACATGGCGTATGCGCATAAAGTTATCCTGCAATCATATAGGCACATGCGCACATACATACCATTTTTAGTAAGCAAAGGTCGAGCACTTGTGTGAAGAATGTCGCACCGTTCGCCGGGAGTGCGCCGGACGGGCAAGAACCCCTATGCGGTACGCCAAGCGAACGAAATTATTCAAAGCGCGTTTGACAGTTGTTAATGGCCATTATATTTGTTATGTATTTGCTTTCTTCCTGCCTGAGTATGTCGAGATAATTTCAGACACACCGTTCAGGCACAGATCTTGGGCGTCAGTAAAAGCTCGTCCAAAAAGGCTTAGCGAGGAGTAGGGGACGCTTGTTAGGGCCTCCGTCGTAGCTAGCCGATCTCAGCGTTTGCAAAAACTGAATCTTCTATCAGCATAAAATTTGAGTGGGAGATATATGATGACACGAGGAAGACATCATAGTAACTTTTGTGCGGTAGCGAGGTCGAATTTATTGCGTTTCCTTAAGAGTTCATGCGTCAACGCTGGGCTCAACTTTGATACTTTTGTGAGAATGCGGCTTGCTTTTTGCCCAATGAAGTAACAAGAAGCGGACGTTTGGCAAACAAAATAGGTGAAAGGCTCCAGGTGAACAAATTTTAGTTCTAGTTCACTGGTACTAGACAAGATTATTGAAATTGAACTCAAAGATGCACTCGTTGGGTGAGGTGACTAAGCCACGCCTTACTACGTTTGCATACGCACTCATAATATCCGGTGTTTCGGGAACCAAGAAAAGTGCCCCGGTCTTCGTTTTGTATCGCTCGAGAATGAGCGTATTGTACGTTCGTGAAAAGTCAGATAATCGAAAACGCAAGCAGCGCGTTCGGTCGCGGCGTGATAGCATGAGATGAAGCTGCTCAATCGAAACCGAAACTGAGCGGCCAACTAGTTCCCAGAGTGCACTGCGTGGTATTTCGCCGCGATGGGGCGCGTCGGTTTTGGAAGAAGTCCAAGCGGCGGATCATGCAGGCAGACCCTCGGGGTCCCAAACACG